GTATTTTAGAGGTGCACTTGGCCTATATTACGGTAAGACTGACCTTCTGGTAATTTTAAGATAAGATTACTCACAGAGTTAATTAAAACAACTTAAGATAACTGTATGAGTGTCAATCTCTTGGCCTGGGGTCAAATGAACCACAGTGCCTGGAATACAATTATTGAAACCCGATCCTCTGAGAACGTCGACGGATCAGCGTATGTGGGACAAACAGAATCAGGTCATAACCCACCTCTCACTTTGCCTGCAGGGAATTCCCAGAGTGCTGTAACGTCCCCCGATGGTAACAGAAGCACACCACATTACCAGCATGCCCATGGTGCAGTAGACCAAAGAATGGACACATTGTCGTGGGTGAAGCACCGTCCCCAGGAGAGCCATGCGTGAACATGGAATGGAGGGAACCACTTAATGAAACACAAAGAGTGAAATAAACAAATATTCAGCATAACCTGTAATGCAATGCAATAATTGCAAATGAAATGACTTTGCACATCCATAAAAGATCAATCTAGTTTACTCACAAGTGTAAAACTCCAGGTTGAAAAGGCCAGTGATCAGAACCACCCCACACAGCACCACAAGGGAAAAGATGGAGCTTGAGGCCGTCAGAAGACTTGTGCATTCTGAAAGCAATGTTTGAAATACTGACTAATGTGCAATTCACATATCCATATATATCATATTTGATACATGAATTTCTAACGCCTCCAAATTACAATCAACATGATCAAAACTTTGCTGGAAAAAATTTTGCTGATTGATAGTATGTCATGATGTAACATTTCATCTGATTGATAGTTTATATTTTTTAGCAAGTAAAATCCAAAAAATGTCCCTCTTCAGGTTGTGGTACACGTCTATTTGTTGTGAAGTTTTATTTATGCATTATATTTAATAAACACACGTTAAATGTATCAAATATCATACATCAGGCTTTTGAGGAACATTTATCTGTCATTATTGTATTGCATATGTTTTACACACTTCAATAAAAAATACAGAGCTCTGATAATAAAACTAAGCATTCAAATATCATTAAGACATACAGGTGCATCTCAAATTAGAATGTCGTGGAAAAGTTCATTTATTTCAGTAATTCAACTCAAATTGTGAAACTCGTGTATTAAATAAATTCAATGCACACAGACTGAAGTAGTAAATGTGAGCCAAAATCATCACAATTAAAAGAACCAAAGCCTTAAAGGCAGAGTGAGTGATTTTTCAAACACTTGAAACACTAAACACACTTTGAAAACACTACAGAAAACTGATTCGGGCCGAATCGCAAAACAAACTTGTAGCCAATCAGCAATAAGGGGCGTGTCTAGGTGTAACATTGGTTTTGCTTTGTTTCACAGAACTAATCGTTGCCTGGGTTGCGTACGTATATGTGGGGCGGAGCTATCAGAATAGAGGCAAGACCCTTTTGGGGTAGGGGCGTGTTTGTTTTGGTGATTTCAAATATCAACATTGGCTACCAGAAATCACTTACTCTGCCTTTAAACTACTTCAGTCTGTGTGCATTGAATTTATTTAATACACGAGTTTCACAATTTGAGTTGAATTACTGAAATAAATGAACTTTACCACGACATTCTAATTTATTGAGATGCACCTGTATTACTGGTTTACAGAGTGACAACTGATATTTATATGCATTTTATGTATGTAGTCTGTTATAAAGATTTCTTTGATTTACATTACAAGCTATAAGAAATTCATCATACTATGGATCATAGAGTTCTGATTAATCAAATATGATACAAAACATAAAACACATGCAAATGTTTTTTATATCATCTAAAGGATCAATAAATCGTTTCTTTAAAAGAATAATAAAACTGATTTCTCACTATTATTTCATAAATCAGGGTTTAGCACAGTATGTATATTATGTCCCTTAAGGTCAGAACTACTGCTTATATCAATAATCTATTCACACTCGAGCACGTCTCAGTATCAGTAACTTATTGTAATTATGCATTTTGTTAGACACTCGTACTCGTTTCCTCACCTGAAATCCACTGGATGGGGTGAAACAAGCTGAATCTACTCAAGAGCACAAAGACTGCAGCTGTCACGGGCAAGAGAAGCACTGACCATGCAATGCTCGACACCGCACTCCATACCACAACCTGAAAATAAACGAGATGAGAATGTGGTCTAGCTTAGGCACAGTTCACACACCTTTGCTTGTCAGCCTGTCTCAAACACAATCTTTCTACGAATTATAACTTTAAACGCTAACTCTAATTCCGCACAAATAATTATATAATTAAATACACTTTATCAAGAACAGACACAATACATTTCACACAGTGCATGATAATATCCAGAAGTCTTTTATATACACTGTCGACTAAACACTAACTTCCTAGTTGGTTAGTTCCCGTCCAGTTATTTAATCACGATTTATATTTAACCAGTCCTTACCTTTCTTATAAACCAACAATTCTGTTTCAGCGAAAACATTTTATCATTCTTGTTTCAGTTCAGCATCACTTGAGTAAAATCCATATCAACATAGCAAAAGTGTGGAGAGTACCCGCGCCACACATTCGAAGGACCTCATAAGGACCGCTGCGAGTGCGTCTGATTTACTGCCTGAATACAATCACACTTAAAGGGGTAGTTCACCCCAAAATTAAAAACTACGCAATTATTAACTCACCCTCGTGTAGTTTATGACTTTCTTGCTTCTGTAGGACATAAAAGATGATATTTGGAGAAATATGTGTTTTTCGTTAATTAATGGTCAACGATCAAATAAAACTATTTGATCAACATTTCTTCTTTTGTGATCTGCAGAAGATCAGAAAGGTCATAAATGTTTGGAGAGACTTTATATAAACGTTAGTAAATCTTTAGTAAATGTAAATTAATTCACATTTTTGGGTGAACTATCCCTTTAAAGAGATAACGTTAGTCCATCCATAAATGTAAATCCTGCGCAGATTTATAGCCGTTCTTTTTAAAATGTAAAAACGTTACTATTGTGAAGCATATATTAAATATAAATTAATTAATTGTATCACTGAATTATATAGGCTAATTATCTTAGTTAAAAAGTAAATAAATAAGTAAATAAATGAATAAATTACATTTATATTTAATGTTAAACAGTATTTCATTATACACAATGTTTTGTGGGCATTACATCAAACAGTCTAAAAAAACTGTAATGAGTCAATACGTAAGAAATAATTATACTCCTTAAGTTTCGATCATGTTGTTTCTTAATTATTTAAACATACATATTTAAAAAAATCACAATACATTTATTTGAAAGTATTATAGGCATTGAGCAGCATAAAGAGGCGTAGACAGACACAAAAACAATTCGTGAAATAATAATTGTCAGTTGTGTATTCCTTTCGCTTCATTCTGAATTAAAGCGTTTTTCTCTCGATGAGTGCCATTTGCTAAAGTGATGTTGCGTCTTTCCAAACTGGTTCTGCTTTTATCAATCTCTCGGCGGGTCTTGGGCTCAAAAGCGTTAGTGGGTAATATCTGGTTTGAACTGATAGACATCTCCGTCTGGACGCCTTTATGCACCAGCGGTTTTTGCCCGGGTCTCTGCGGTATGGCGGGCAGTGACAGCTGCTCCCGCTGAGCCTTCTTGTCCTCCCAGAGCTTCAGAAGACGCCGCTGGTTGTTGGTCATGTCCTTCAGGTTCTGTTGCAGGGACTGGACCTGGTCCTCCAGCAGAGTCTTCGAGGTCACGGTGTTGGCCAGTTCGGATGTCAGTTCATCAATCGTCAAACTTAATTTGCCCGCTTTTTCAACTAGTGAATTGCACTCGCGCTCCTTCTCGTGCAGGTCGTTGATTATATCCTTGGTGGTTTTACCGTGAAATTTAGGACTGGACTCTAAACCAATTTCAGCCCGCAGGACCTTCACTTGTTTCCGCAGCTCCTTGTTGTCCAAAGTCAATTGCTTTAATTTCTGTTTAAGCGCTTCGGTTGATCTCATTCGAGACTCGTATTGTCTCATTTTCTCCCTCATCATACTCTCACGGTGCAAAGCATCGTCTCTTTCCTTCCGGCACTTTTCCAAAAGCTTTAAAGTTTCGTATTTGGACACCTTTTCCACTTTCCCAGCCATCATTCATTTGCAGTCTTAAATGCAATATTGAAAAGACATGTTCTTTTATACAGGTCGTCGGGTCAAATCCTCTTTAAATATTTTTTCCATTTGCAGGTCATTAAAATAACAATGTCAGGAGATACCTGTGAATGCAGTGCTCCAAAAATCAAGCCTTCTTATGTTTGATCCACTGTGTAAAGGGAAACAGTGACTTGTGAAGCTGACATTCCTTCACAAAGGTTATAGGTTTGGGAGGCAGCTTTGGTGTAACTCTAAGCTAAGGCTAGAATGACCATTAATTAGGACACACCACACATTGGCACAGTTTCAAGTGACACAAATTTTCTATTTGTTAATTCGGAAAATGTAGCCGAGCCATTTCATAACACCAGTGCCAACTTAAAAAAAATGATAATTTATCTAATTAATCTAATGACTGTGATGAAACAAGGTTAAAAGTGCACTGCTGATGGTGTTCGGAGATATACGAAACTTTGCACTGTATCAGATACTGACATCAAAGACAAGATAGATTTAATCTATGACAATAACCTTTGTTTGTGAATCTTGATGATGCTGAGAATGACATTCTATGATCTGCTTTAAAACCACTTGGCTATCAATATCATCATCAATCATTGAAACATTATAAATGGGGGAAAAAAAAAAAAAAAACTTTATACGCTCAGCATCTGCTCACAATTTTGGTCTGTATTTGTGTGCATGTAATTTTAAATGGGGAAAAAAGACCTGCTAAATATTTATTACAATGTGACATCTTGGAATACAATTAACTGTTCTAGGCATGTATATCTACAAGTATCTTGTTTAAAGAAAAGGTACAGATCTATTTACAAATCTCTCAAAAATATAGTGTAAAAATAATATTTAAAAAAAATCAATGGCCACCACAGAGAACTGAAAATTTGTCAAATATTTCATTAAACTCTAGCTTTGATTTCCAACTTTATTCAAATTGAAAAATGTAATCAGTTTCTGTGTGTATGTGCAATTCAACAAACTATTTTATTTTATTTTTCCCATCCCTTTTTTCTGCTGGCACTGTAATTTTATAAAGTGTTAAAACATTTTATGTACATGTAGACATTTCCAAAGTGGTAGAAACAGGAGAGTGACCCTTTGAAAACCATCTCAAGCTCAATTATCAAATGAATATTTAAAGCACAGCTACACAGTATATACATGTCCTCTACTTTGTAACAGTAACATGTGTCTGAACCTCAAATCAGAAAACATCAAACATGTTGTCGATGATTATCTCGAGGTTTCGCTGCTCACCTATATTCATAAACATACCAAAATAAAGGCTTTACCTTCACAGACTATAAGATGAAGAAATCCAGACAGCCCACAATCTCATTATCAAGATACCTGATTCTCTCTAATAAGGCAAGAGGAGAAGCTGCAATTACAGAAGAATAACAGTCTCTCGAGGAGCACAGATTATGTACAGGAAGTCTTGTCTCATGTTAACATCTCATCAAATGCAAATGTCTTATTTTCCCATCAGCAACTACAATCAAATGACACTTGGCTCATCTAAAAGTGCTGGCATTTCTATGCCATTTCATCATTATTAAAACAGTGCAGCAGTCAAAGCACGTGAGAGAGTGCCACCTCACTGAACTTTGTGGATGAAGTGTTGGTCGCTGTCAATGGCTCATTGTGAACCTTTGATGAATCCATCTCATATGTACTGAAGAAACATGTCTGAAAAAAAGAGAGACAGCACAAATCTTTCAGACTCTGACAGCACTTTTGTCCCCTAAACACTACATTCCCTAATTAAATGAATGTAATTGATGGCACATGATAGCCATAAGGATATGGTTCTGTTCACAAACTGGCATGTTTCCAAGCCAGTCATTGACTACTGCTAGTGTTTCCACAAACACACCCCTCCACTGGGGAAACACATTTGACACCAACCTGTTTGATCCTTTAACGCTGCAAGAAGCAGTGCCGAAATGCTGACAATGAGTTGCTAGTTCAGTTACAAAACTTTACTGTTATAAAATCTAGTGTTTTTGCAACAAAAAAAATCAATGGCCACCACAGAGATGCATTTTACTCAAAAAAGAGGCATTTTAGTCAAAGTTTCAGCTAATATGTTTCACTTGCATTGTTTTAATGAGTGCATAATCATATGCATACATGTTAGGGATGCAATGATATTACAATACAGATAAACCAGAAATTATGTTAAAATTCTATACTATATTGCCTAAATAAATTAAATATAAAATACTCAATCATTTTAAATGCTACCAGTCAGTCTAAGCATAACAATATTATAATGTACAGTATGAAAAAGTTATATTCATTTTGAGATTTGATAAAGATCTTAACATTTAACAGTGTGTTATTTTATTATTAATTAAAAAAAAATCATAAGTGTGTATTAGGTGCCAGCAAAACTAATCTAAATGTAAAAATAAGGAAAAATGAGCATGCAATACAATTAAATAGCCAATATCGGCTGATAAATCAAAAATGGACTGATACTGATGAACTAATTCAGTAATATCAAGTCAAGTTCAAGTCAAGTCAAGTTGAGCTTTATTGTCATTCTGCTGCATGTGGGGACATACAGTGGAACGAAATGTCGTGCCTCACAGGACCACGGTGTTACATAAATACAGGCATACAACAATGAGGCAAAACAGTAAAAACCTATACAGTAAAGCAGTAAAAACCTATACACAACTAACCTACTGACTGATTTTGATTATAAATATAATATATATATATATATATATAAATGTTTACCTATACATAAGTTTAAAAAAAATAGACTATACGGATGCTTCACATAAACGCTGTACCTATACACAGCTAACCTACTGACAGATTTTGACTATGAATATACTATATATAAATGTTTACCTATGCATAAAAAATAAATAAATAAATAAATAAAAAATAAAATAAAATACAGACTATACGGATGCTTCACATAATACTGTACATGTGCAAAGAGAAACATCGTAAGTCAAGCAGCTGGCTGGGGAACTGCAGATGACTAGTAACAAGGGATGTAGATGGAGAGAGAGTAACCATAGACACAGACTATCTGCATGAAGGAGTAGGACACCAGGCTTGTGATTTTCCTATTTCGCCAGGTGAGAAAACCCCATAGAGCTAAAGGCACTAACCATGCATAGCTTTATATTGCTGTGGCTGCCATAGTTACTGGAAAACAATCGAGAACTAGTGTCATTTTTAGGGTGAGGCCAGAGGGTCTATTTTGTTTGGGTCATTTAGGGTTATTGTTTTTTTTTGTGGAATTCACAGCATTCTACTACTGTTCAAAAGTTTGGTGTTTTTTTTCCCCCCTGAAAGAAATTAATGAATTAAAAGTAGGGGTGTGCGATATTGACAAAAAAATTATATCTCGATATTTCATGGGATTTTATCGATAACGATAATTAGACGATATTTTGCTGAGTGTGTTATTGTGTTGGTACCTTAAGGACTGCCGAAGACAGCTGACTCCTAATGTTTTTAATATTCTTCATATTCTGTGTGGTGGTCAGTTCATACTGATAGAAATGAATCTTTTCCAATAAGTTTAAACTGATTTTTGCATTTTATGGCCATTTTTACCTTTATAAAGCCATTTTTTCTAAAAGTGTCCATTATCTTTTGAGTCAAATTCTTACATTTAATCAGCAAATTAAATCAACACAGAAGCTGCAGCGGCATTTAGATGTATTTACACACATTTTGTTTAATGCAAGACATGAATGCATTTAACCTGCAATTACAAATGCATAAATAATGTTTTGATATATTACACATAAAACGTCGAATACTGATATTTGAAATGATTTAAAACATGAAAAAAAAATGTGATCATTCTAAATGCATTTTAATAGACTGAATCATGCAGTGAAAGAAAACACACTAAACGCGCACACGCACTAGTCTAGACTTCACGTAATGTATGCGTGCGCTCTGTAGGGATGTTTTGAATGTTTTTTGCAAAATACTCGATAATGTCAAATCGATAATAAATTGTTATTAATTGTGACAATAAAGACATGTATACGTTCGTTACTTTTTTGTTACATTAAAAACTCAAGGTTATTTCAAACAACATATCTCTAACTTTTCCTGAAGTCTGGCACATATTTGTACTTTGGCTGACCGTAGTTCACAAGAAAACTGGAGATGTTTCCACTAATAGCGATGGCAAAAATAAGAGTGGCACAGATCCAGAAAGGTCCTACAAAAACAACATATAGGGCTGCACGATAAATCGAAATGGAATCAAGATCGCGATTCGACAGAAGCTGCGATTGTCAAGCGTATCTTTCAGTGAAGCACGGTTAGGCCAGAGGCGCGCTGAAACTCCAAATACGCCTCGCAGAAGAAACCCAGAAAATGCCTATGGCAGCAGCCAGCAGCTCAGAAGATTCAACTGCTTTCATTGATTCAACGTGACTAATAAACACACGACTACGGCAATATACGGTTTATCTGATTTCTTATTATTATAATTTTCATTCAAATAAAGTATATTTATAATGCAATGCCTTTATCACTGCTTAAATACTATGAAATAAATCCTTCTGTGAGATGATGTGGTTTACTCAGAATAAGGCATGCAACATATTTCATAGTATTTAAGCAGTGATAAAGGCATTGCATTATAAATATACTTTATTTTAATGAAAATTATAATAAGAAATACTCAGATAAACCGTATATTGCCGTAGTCGT